ATAAAAAGTGACTACAAATATTTCAGGCCGATCAGATTATTTTAACCCGTGACCCCTTATGGTTGAAAATCGGCCAAAATAGGTAATTTTTAGTTTTTAGCTATTAACTTGTAAATCAGTGCTCTTACAAAAAAAAAATTATTGAAACTAAATTCTAATTCTAATTATTTTATATAAATTAAATTCTAACATTTTTTTTAAATTCATTAGTTTTACAGAAAAATGTCAAAATACGTAATATTTCGTAAAATTGTCGAAATTGTTATATTTACGAATCCTTCATTATATCTGACGAATCATATGCGATATAACCTAAATTTCATACAAAAAATGTTTAAAATAAAATGTTTAAAGTAATAAGTAAACATTTCATCATTCGTTTTATTGATACAGCTGAGATAGCTTGATCATATTACAATTTTTGCTAAATATATGAGTTTTATTGCTAGATTCTATTAGTTATCATCTGGTATATGCAAATAAGGTATACTCTACGCAAACTATTCTACTTTATTTATCAGATGATATAATTATAAGTTCTTCTTCATCTATAGAATCTGGTAACTAAAAATCTTTATATATATCTATATGTAAAAAAATTATTATATATTAATTGTATAATTGTTCTTATATATATATATATATATATATATATATACATAATTGAAGACACGCACGCGTCTACGGGATGGAAAATATTGTTGTCGACGATTGGTGAGCAGGGTGGGGTGAATGCGTTACGACCGTCTGGTCTCAAGGTCAATATATTGCTTAGATTTATTAAAAAAAATTTTTTTTTTTTAAACTGTAGCTTCATTTTTGTCGAAGAGCAATATGTAATATTTTTACGATTCCATATCAATACTGATAACTTTTATTTATACAGAAAAAAATTGTATGCTTTATTAAAGTACTAAATGACTCAGCTGAGAGAGCATAATTGAAGAATTTAATGGTAGTTTAACAGTAAACGATTAAAAAGTTGAGTTACTTTTATGCTGGTCCAAAAGCATAAATAATTATATCTTAATTGTAAAAAAGAAACATTAAAATATAATTTTTAGTTTATATTTTTGTTATAATTTGGGAACTACTAGTATATTGCATTTCACATTTTATATTTTATGTAGCAATTTTTTTAAATTTATAAAATAATATTGAGAAATAAGGATACTTATGCATTTTAGCCAATCATAAGTATATCGTCAGATATAATGAAATATTCGTAAATATACCAATTTCGACAATTTTACGAAATATTACGTATTTTAACATTTTTCTGTAAAATTAATGGATTTAGAAGTAAAACTGTTAAAACTTAATTTATACAAAACAATTAGATTTACAATTTAGTTTCAATCATTTTTTTTTTTTTTTTGTAAGAACACTGATTTACAAGTTAATTGCTAAAAACTACTCTTTAAGACCGATATTTAATCCCAAATTAACACGATTAAACTTATCTGATTTGTTCGACAAATTTTGTGGGTGAGCCGAAAAATTTCCAAAATTTTAAAAATAAATTGAGGGTGTCAATTTTGTTTTTTTAAATGAAAACTTATATTTTGAATTTAATAAAATGTTTGAGTTTTTAATTTAATAGTAAATGGTATTTGAATTTTTAGTATAACTTTATTCGTTTATTAGATATAAAATTTTAAAGTTTCAAATTTTTAAATTAATATACATGTATAATACATGAATGTTTACAAATACAGGTAGCTAGTTGGTTTTTATGATGTCGCTATCACAGTCATGGAATGTTTATTGTCAATTATGACTATCCTAAGATACGTTTTCTGTATTGACGTTATTGTATTTATAAACTCACAACAATGTGCCTTATTACCATTGATAATAACAATGCTGTGTACCTGCGAATATCGTTGTTATAAAAAACCAATTAGCTACCTGTATTTGTAATCCCTTTTTAATTCAAAAATTGGAAACTTTAAATGTTTATATCTATTAAACAAATAAAGTTATATTAAAAATTCAAATGCCCGTCAAATTTACTGTTAAATTAAAAACTCAAACATTTTATTAAATTCAAAATATGCATTATCATTTAAAAAAACAAAGTTTACAACTTACAAGGCATAAGGGATGAACTTAAAAAGTATTGAATATCTAATAATTCAAGAATAATGTATAACTAAAGATAATAATAAAATTAAAAAAAAAAATTTAATTGTATTTATTATGTAAGTAATAGAGTGGATTATGATAAAAAAAATCACTTTTTATATTTTGCACCATCTCAGGCAGCGATAAATACAAAACAAAATTAAAATCGGTTATTCATTTGATAGTATGTTCATTATTTAATGGAAAAGAGTAATATTTTGAAATAGAAAGGGTCTAGATATTTTATATCCTAGAAATCATTAATGTTACTAATATATCACAAATATTATCAATATCTTAATAAAATTACATTATTAATAAAATAATCTTTTTATCGCGAATATCTAAATGTTAGTGATCGGGCGTGATATTTTATCACTAAAAGATGTTAAATAGAATTAAAATAAGACGTTAAGTACGAAAATTGATATGCGTTTATTTTACATACGCGAGCGGTGCGCTGTTCAAAGTTAACAAATATTTCAGTACCAGAAATATTTAAAAAAGCTACGAAACTTCAAAAAGAATTTGAAATTTATTTAGAACCTTCATTTGTGAATGAATGTTTACATTTAAGAGAACATTTAAAAAGCCTTTCTGATGGTATTCCGAAAACGATTCAAGAGATTTGTATTTTTATCAGACAGAAAAATTACAAAGCATTTAGCCTTATATTGATATAGCTTTGAGAATGTTGCTATGTACTCTCATAAGCAATTGTTCAACGGAAAGATCTTTTTCAACTTTAAAAAGAATTAAATCGTATCTAAGATCTAGTACATCTGAGGATCAACTCAATAATTTAGTTTATTGTCAATTAAAGGTGAATTGACATCTATAATAAATTATGATGAGGTAATTAAAAAAATTTCGTGTATTAAGAGTAGAAAAAAATTGTAATTGTTTTTCTTGCTTATTAATTAACTGTTGTTATGTTAATAAATGATATTTATAAATAATTTTTCTATTGTTAATATTCCTAACTTTTGTAAAATAATTCAATTATTAATGATCAAATGGCCCATTTCTTAATCTTAAAAAAAATTTATGATTTAAAACAATGGTAGGGCACATTTATGGGGGGTCTATGGGGATTGGACCCCCCATCCATGGTCCCATTGATGTCTAATGTAAACAAGGGAAATTGTTTTGAAGACCTTTTTTTTTTGCTCAACTAAAAAACCCAACTCAACACTTTTTGGGGGGCGGTAAAATTCCTAAATTCGACCCTGACTGAAGGGGTAGATTTTAGACCCGTCAGCACGGTTTAGCTCAAAATTTGCAGACTGAAGGATGGCTCCTCGTCAGCCACTAGCAAAACTACCTTTTCTCTATACCTACTAAAGGGTGGTTAAGCCCAAAAACTAGCCAGCCCGTACACCAATTGTTAAGATCGATTAAAGGAACAGCAATCCAACATAGACTCAAGCCGCACACACATACACAATTTTAATAACACAGCGGATATAAAATATTTACATTACGTGCAGGTTTTTGAATAGTTATATTTTATCTACAAAACATAATAAACATAAAATCAGATTACAATATAATAATGTAATACAATATAAATTAAGCCATTTAAAATACAAAGTTTCACATACTAAACGTCCAAACCTATAACTAGACATTTCTTAGTCAAAACGTCAATTTTCCATTACTCTTCTTGTTTCCTTTTATATATTCTTTTACCACCATTGTTAATATGCTTACCCTGCATTATCTCTTTATATGAGATTATTATATTACTTAGGAATTTAAAAATTGCTTACTACTGTGTTAAAAATGTATAACATACTAATATCGAAGTTATTTAATAACTACTCAGCTATTTACTACAATATTAACGATATTTTTCGGTTGGAAAACTATTTAAGTTGTTATTTCAACTATATAGTTTTTCCCGTACAAGTAGTGGAGATGCGAATAAAAATATCTAGATCTGAAGAATTTAAGCATTTGTATTTTCTTTGTGTTTTAATAAATATAGGCCACCTAGACAAAGTCAATTTATTTTATACTTCTACTAATTCAAAATAAAAGTTTTATACTGCATACTTTCTCGAATAGATTCTTTTTTAACATTTTTTTATTTAAAACTTTTCAAACACGATAATATATAGTAGAAATAGGTAGTATTAGTAAAATTTTTTTTATGAACGTCCTCTTTGAAACATCATGAGCACCTTAGTATTAATAATTATTTAATTATAATTATTATAATGATAGTTATTATTGATTTAAATAATTATTTATTTAGACACCTATAAAAGAGAATAATTTTGTAGAATAATTTATTGAGATACTTTTACAATGGTCACAATATTTAATAAAATTAAATAAAGATATAAATGAAACAAAAATTTTTAATTTTTATAATTAAATTAGTATATTATTTAATAAATAAATAAAATAGTTGATGGTAAATTAAATTAATTAACGATATTAGAATTTTTGTATTATTCTGTTGACACACATTCTTCTTATTGGATAATTTAGATATATTCGTTTAATGATAACAGTTGATTTTTTTTCATCATCATTTGATGGCAAGTCTTAAAATAAAATAATGAATAAAAAAAATTTATTTCAAAAATTATCACAATTAGATTTTATTTTTAAAAAAATAAGAAATTTTTTCAAACANACATTTATTTTCTTTTAGTGTTTATACGTCTATTTACGTGTTATAATTTTGTTTAATAAAGTCTACCGCCATTTAAATAATTGTGTGTTGTAAGATATCACCCACACTTCTAAAACGATTTTAATAATCAATTAAAATTTTTTTAGTTAATTTTAGTTGTTTATTTAGTAAATATGAAAAAAAAATTTTCAGGTCAACAAATTATATATGTATGTACGTTTTTTGTGAGAAGTTGGTCAAATCAAAAATTATAATTTTCTGGAAACCAAAATATTTACTTGGTGGTATATATGACTATTAAAATTTTAAATATAACTAAACTACTTATGAAAACAAGATCGACAATACTTAACACAAATTTCTAAGTAATCTAAAACTAACAAAATTTGACTTGATCAGTTTTTCATAAAAACATTCCATTTATATTGTTTGGTAGATAGCGCCTTTAACAAAAACCTAGTGGAACTGTGGTCACAAATTTGTTAAGTACATTAAATCGCGTGAAAACTGATCTCTAACGTCTTTGCTTACCTACCCCCTCGTCAACCTAACACGATATATCGACGGCCTACGCTCCAATTGCCCGTTAAGTACGATTCATCGTTGGTCCTCAACAAATCTGTACTGTGCGATTTCCATGTACACAGTAAGGGCCTCCTCTTGTGCATGCTATTGTTTGGTCATAGTACACCATATTTTACTATTTGTTGCTACCATGCCCTTGTGTGCCTTTAATGATTGGGCCCTGACTATCACTGAAACACTACCAAAGTAGCCGTTTTTCCACCATCAAATTTCATCCTCAATAACGTGCCCTGCACCTATACACTGACCATTGATCTCAGACGTGCGAGTTCTATATTATCCTTGTGCTCAACTTTGCCATATTCCGTGAGGCTAATGTTAGTTGTCATCGAGTATTACAACCATTTTCACAACACCCAATACAGTCTGCCTACCACTATCATCGACATCATTTATCAATTTAGGTTTTATATTATTTTTTAATATAATTTATTATTTTTAATTGATTTAAACAATTTTATCTTATCCCCTAGAAATCAATGAATATATTATAGATATAATATATATTGTTATATGTAGTTAAACGACTCCAAGTAGTTGGGAATAAAGCGAGAAAAAAAAGAAGAAGAGGTGATTTAATGCCAAAGAAAAAGATAATTTATAAGAAATATTATGAGCATTTAGATCCGTAGATTTTTCTCCGTCATCGGGCTTCAATATCTAAACTATTCAGGTACCAGATAATGCGGAGTATTCCCATTCTTTAAAATTATACATTGTGTAAATGTATTGAACTATAGTAAAATATGAATGAATATCTAGAAAGGGTAAAAAAGACGTCTCATTGACATTGGTGCAGTGTAAATATTTTTTAGTGCTGTAAGTAATTTGTTGATACAAATTACGTGTAAAATTTCTTTGAATTACAATTAAAATCAATGACTGAATTTTGGAGTATCATTGAGAGTTATTAAAACTTTGTAGATGTATTCAATAATAAAAGTAATAATACGCAGTAAGGTACAAACGCCAATAAATATAGTATTTAAGTTAATTATTGTTTCAATTTTTTATTAAAAATTATTGTATTACAAAATGATAATCATATGTATTGTGCAGTAATATTAACTTAATGTTATTAATTTATTGCTTACCAATTGAAAAACTAGCATCATCATCTTCGCCTAACATAATATATTTTTCGTTTTATTTAATGTCACTTTAAGTTTTAAAATTTAAGAGTACATGGAATAATCAACTATTATAATTATTATTATTAGTTGTACATCCATAATTGATATTTTTATTATTTTGACGATTCATTAATAATCCATTATTATTACACGAGACTCTTTGAAATTATATAGGTGTGGCCTAGTAGGACGTCCTATATATGTTTAGTTTAAGGTATTGAACAATGGCAACAAAACTTTGGTGATATCACTTTTGCGAAGAAACCGAATTAGTATAATATGGTAGGAGGTGCGCACAATGAACCTACATGACTGAGTACATGAGCAGTTTTTGCTCAAATTTCTAACAACTAAAACCACATAGATTACAATGTATGTATATATTGTATATAGTGAGGTGATTATGGAGGATCATATTCTTATCCCCTATTTCTTTTTATATCTGTGAATATCTGTGTTTAAATGTTCGGAAATCAATATGAGTAATTAAATAATTAAGAATCACTTTATACATTTTAGCTAATTTTTCTAAGAAATTAGTTAAGAGAAAGGTATATGGCCTCTATAGGTTGAAATATTTTTTAAAAATTTATAGTCCTAAAATGAAGAGTAACTAAATAATTTTTATCTTTAAAATGTAAAATATTATTAAAATATTAATAATTATTATCAATAGTTTTATAAATAATTTTATTAAGAAAATTAACTTATTGTAATTAATTTCAAACTAGAAGTCTAGGATCTCCTAGAAATCAATGAATATATTACTATTTCTTATATTTACTGAAACATTTTAAATTTGGTAAGATTTGATTTTTTTTAGCTTCGATGCGAAGCTGAGAAGGTATTAATTTTACCATGATGTGTTTATTTTTTTTTTTTTTTTATTTTTTTTTTTGTGTCTGTCACTACTTTTTCTCAGCTCTCACTGGACCGATTTCTTTTAACAATACGTCAAAAGATCACAAATTGTATCTAGTTGAAGACATTACCCTTAAAAATTTAAAAATTTTCCCTCGTTCCCCGCAAATGGGGGAAATATCCAAAAAATTACAAATTTAAAAATCGACATCATTTTATCATTTTTTTCACTTTTTTTTCTTAAAACTTCCATAACTTTTTCAAAAATCAACAAATCAACATAATTTTTTTTTAAACTAAAACCTTAGATA